CTGATTTGTAAGGGGTTCGTCTGTAATATTGATATATACATTTATGTGGTAAGTATTTTTCTTAAGGCTATGCTAGTCGTCTCCTAACACTGATTCTCATTCTTAACATCATGGTGTTATTTTAATAGTTATTATTTTTGTGGTGCTGAAGATTGAACCCAGATCCTTGTGCATGCTAAGCAAGAACTCCACTACTGAGCTACATCTCCGGTCCTATGGTATTCTTTTAAATAGGCAAATGGCCCCCAGCCAAAGACTGTATTTCTAAGCTTCCCTATAGCTAGAACTTGGTCTTCTGTGACTTAAGTTCTGTTCAAAAAAGATGTGAACATATGTGATAACTTAGTGCATATGAGGAAAAGATATTTATAGCAACCTGCTATCTAGAGTGGTAAGCCATCTTTAACCATGCAATACCTGAGGACTAGCAGAAAGAAGGGAAGCTACCACTCTGGACAGTTTATACTCAGGATAGGCTTTATTATAAAGAAAAAAAAATTTCTATCTTTTTTAAGCCATTGTTGTCTTTTATGGTGCTAGTGGTTGAACCTAAGGCCTCATGCATGCTAGGCAAATGCTCTACCACTGAGCTTCATCTCTAGTCCCTTTTGTTTTATTTGTTACAATTTCTATTCTAGTGTATTATTTATATAATTATGTTGTTCTAATTTATATCCTAATAGGCATTTTGGAATCTAGATGTGAGGTGCTGCTATAATTCAAATTTTAAAATGTGGTTCTAGGCACTGGGATATAGCTCAGTGGTTCAATTCAAGTATCAAAAAAAAAAAAAAGTGGCATGGGCTTACTAGTCAGACAGTAGGTGGTTAAGATATAGCAGGCTGGAATGTTGGTGATCTTTGTTATTTGTGCCAAAACATTTGGTAAACTCATTACCTGTGATACCCTGGAAGGCAGACCACAGAACAAGTGCGCATACAACCATAGGGAAAAGCCTGACAAAATTCACACTGTGTTGACTATTTCTTGACACATTCAGCAAAGTCCTAAAAGAAGAGATGAGTTCAGTCTAGAGGTTCCCAGTGTGCAAGCAAAGATGGATGGGAATATTTCTCTTCCTGTAGTTGACAATCTATTCTCTACAGCTCATTAGTTTAGGTCATACATCCAACTGCTTCAGAAACCCAAGGGAGCCTCAACCTTTTCTCAAGCACCTGTTGTAAGAACCTCTGAAAATTAGGAGTGGTGTGCATAACTATAGCCTCAACTATTTAGAAAGCAGAGGCAGGAGGATTCCAAGTTCAAGTCCAGACTGGGCAATTCAGTGAGGACCAAGCTCAAAATAAAAAAGGCAGGGGGGACGGCAGGGGATGTGGCTCAAGCGGTAGTGAGTTCAAGCGGCATGCACGGGGCAGTGGGCTCGATCCTCAGCATCAGGGTGGAGGGGGAATCTCTGATAGACAATGGGAGAGAACTCTACTGCAAAGATTCAACCCACTCTCAGACTAGGGAATGGGAAAAGCATAGACTGCAAATCAAATATCAGACTTGTCAAGCTTAACACTACCTAAAATGAGATCCCTGGCTTTCAACTGGAATGACCCAAGCAAGGCCAACAAAGCAGTCATCTACCAACTTTTGATTTGTTGTTTTTTTTTTCTTGTGGTACTAGGGATTAAACTAAGGCCTGTTCTACCACTGAGCAAATATCCCCAGTCCTTTTATTTTTTGAGACAGGATCCACTAAGTTGACCAGGCTGGTTTTGAATTTGTGATCCTCCTCCTCAGCTTTTTTTATAGCTGGGATTACAGGTATATACCACAGCACTTGGCTCCAAGTTGTTGTTTTTGCTTTTTATGCAAATGCCTATTGTTGTTATTGTTGTTAATTAAAATGCCTGAGAATTAACAAGTCTGGTATGCTAAGAAGTGTAATTGTTCAGCCCCTAAAGTTAATCCTCAGACACTTTAGATTTATCCTTGTAGAAAATAGGTAACAAAAGCTGGATCATTCCAACAAAAGAACACATACTCCATGAGGACCACTGCAGATGAGGCTACCTTTAAGAATAATGAACAAGGGCCTGGGGATGTGGCTCAAGCGGTAGCATGCTCACCTGGCATGCGTGCGGCCTGGGTTCAATCTGCAGCACCACGTACAAACAAAGATGTTGTGTCTGCTGAAAACTAAAAAATAAATATTAAAAAATTCTCTCTCTCTCTCTCTCTTTAAAAGAAAATGAACAAATTAGAGACTCCTTGGACAGGAAAGCCAGAGGTGATAGTTTCTTGAAATAAAAAAAAAAAAAAAAAAAAAAAACCAGAAAGGAAAAAAAAAGTAGAACCAACAGTGTGTGCCCCAAACAAGATGGACACAATATCTTTCTTTCTTCCTTCCTTCCTTCCTTTCTATATGGTGCTAAGGATCGAACCCAGGGCCTCATACATGCAAGGTAAGAGCTCAACAACTGAGCTACAACCCCATCCCCTCTAGATTCTTAAAAATCAAAAGAAAGGTCTGGGGTTGTGGCTCAGCAGAATGCTTTCCTAGCATGTGCAAGGCCCTGGGTTCAATCTTCAACACCACATAAAAATAAATAAATTAAATAAAAGTATTATTTGTATCCAACTATAACTAAAAAATATTTTTGAAACATTTTAAAAATATACAGAGAAAAACAATCCTACTGATATAGAGTTACACTTTATAGCATTTTTATGTACTCAGGATCTTTTATATCCATCTAATTTCCTCCCATCACAATTTAAGTGTATAACCTTGTGTCCTACAGTCTTTTAATAAGTGAATAAGTACATCTACAATTATAAGTCTTTGGCATCTGAGGACAGTTATTAAGTCATCCTTCATTTTACCCTCTTCAAGTTAACCTAATTTCTTTGATTTATCTTAACTATTTTCAGCATTTTTGAAAGCTTAAATTCTTATATGCAATATTAGGAAAATATTACATATTTTACAAGGATAATTTTTATAGTTATGTAAAAAGCAATGTGATAGATATAATACAATCATGAATAATAAGTGAAGACATAGAAAAACTGTCATTTAAATATTAATTTTATACTGTGGTTCTATTTCTAGCATTCTAGAGCTATAGATTCTAAAGCTTAAAATTACATAATCCTTACCAGGGGACTTTCCTTGTTGTGAGTTGCTTCTTCGCTCTCTGTATCTGGCTGGAGTGGATAAGCCTGTGTCTTTACTAGATTTGCTAGCTGGCCCCATTTCTGAAATGAGGAATCCCATCTGTTCTGAAGGCAAGATATTCTCAGGTGGACTGGTCTGGCATTTTATACTGGCATCCACCTAAAATATTAAATTCATTTATTATTCTGAGATTTCCCCCAAAATATGTACTAAAAGTTAATTAATCTATCAGAGGGTTGTGTTACAGAAATATGATCCAGCCAGGCACCTATAAACCCACCTCCTTGGGAGTCTGAGGCAGGAGGATCTTAAGTTCAAGCAAGCCTCAGCAACTTAGCAAGGCCCTAAGCAATTTAGCAAGACCCTGTCTCAAAATTAAAAAATAAGAAGGGCTGAGGATGTGGCTCAATGGTTAAGCACCTATGGGTTTAATCCTTGGTATCAAAAAATATATATAATAATAATAAACAAAAGCTTGGAGATGTAGTTCAGTGGTAGAGTGTTCAAACACCCAGAATCCACCCCAACACAACCATGATGCAACAAACATGCTTATAAAGCTTTTCATCCTTATGAATAGTACCTTTAATTAGCTTGCTATCTAATTATTTAATCAGTAAGATGTTTATTTCCTCATACTCAAACCATTGAAATGTATGTGGAACTACATTATTCACTTATTATGATCAAAGATTTACCATGAGACTTGATGATTTTTAACTTATAAGAGAGTAAGATATTTTAAACCATGACTGGCTTAAAACCACCATCTTTTTCTACTCTAGCATATGTTCCATCAGATTTCCCCTACTAGTTGGCGATGCTGAGATGATCATAGTCATAATCCTGTTGAATTCTGTCAATAAAACCTGAATACTTTATTTTACTAATTTTGTATTCTTTGTCTTTAAAAGGTTGTCAAAATTGTATAAGCTTTAGTCCCTATAAAATTTAAATTCATTTGTTTCACAAATGATCATCTTTGGATTGTTAAATCATTTTGTCAAGGTGACCAATTTCTAAAATATTCAATTTCTTTATCATTTATTTAAAATTAAACTATGTAATGAAAACAAGGTTAAAAGTTAAAAACAGCTTTCATGAGCTGTGGTGTTCAAATATACTAATAAAAGAAAAAGTAACTGTGTACATGCAATTTTAAGATACAAAATCCAATATTCTAAATGTGACTATGAAGAAAAAAAGACAAATTTTGTATTTTTTCTACAGATATATTCAAAACATAATTTTTTTCCTACTGAATTAACATCATTATCTTAATGTAATAGATCTCAATAGGCTCAAAAAGGAAAGAGTTGATAGGAATCTTAAGACATCTGGATCTAAAATTAGAACTAAAAAAAAAAAAAAAGGCTGCAAACAAAACAAAACACACCAAAAGTTATCTTGGGAGTATCTAACAATAGTGAAAAAAGATTTTCAGCCCTATTAAAAGAAAAAAAAAAAATCAGCAAGCATTGGTGACACACGTCTGTAATCCCAGCTTCTCAGGAGGCTCAAGTTTCAGGCCAGGTTGGGCAACATAGCAAGACCCTGTCTCAAAAAAAAAAAAACATAAAGTGCTGGGGGTTTAGTAATAGGGCTTTTGCCTAGCAAGTTCGAATTCCTGATACTTCATACTTCAATCCCCAATAACACACACACCACACACACAAAGAAGAAAAAAAGAAAAAATCCAAAATGAAAAACGTTTATCAGGCTAAGATCCATAAAAAAATTAAAGTCAGAAAAAAAAATAAGTTAACTCACAAGATAATATTACTTTGGATATACTTTTGATGAGTTATTCTTACTAATTATTTAGAATCAAAGTTTATTTATTTTATTGTCATATACTAACAGTACTAAAGGAATTAATCTCTTCCTTCAGAATGTGTCCCTCAAACTTCAGTCAGAATTCTGCTTTGGGAATGCAAGCAATAGTAAGAAGTTTGAACACAATATACTCATTATTCAAATGCAGTGATGTTGTCAAAAAAAAATGGTAAGAAAAGACCTCCAACCATATCCTTACCTCCATCTACAAATAACTTGGAAAATCCTTATGTCATCTGGCAAATAAACCACTCCACATTAGTCAGGCATATCTAGTCCATCCAAATTAAAATAGGAAGCAAAACTCAAAGGATGATTTTAATATGAAAACAAGTTTTAATGCCCAGTCTGCCACTTCAAACTATAACAATAGTAAGATGATGTCTACGGGTTAAGGTAACTCCTTTATGAATCTTTTGTGCAGAACCACAGGGAATGTGATCCTTTTGGAAAGTGAAATGAACTGGTATTAAACCCAAATAAAACCTAGAAAAATTCCACTAGAAGATTCTTTAACAAGAAGCACTGTGTACTTTGAACTTTATTATAATTCTTTTGTTTGCCCTCTTACCTGGTGTGTGTTGAATGGTAGCCCTTCCTGCACAAATACTACTGAAGATGGAGATGGATTATGACTTAGCTGCTCCTTCAGTTTGACGTGAGCTTGTTGTATGGCTGCAGATTCCTGCATTGTGCTATTTTCCACAGGTTGAGCTGTGTGGATGGTATAGATGTACTCAGGTGACTGTGGTAGAGAGCAGGTAATTGCTTGTTCTGTTCCAACCACAAAAGATGTAATATCTGAGCCTACAGGAGTAAGTGGCTCCAGCTGGCTAGCCTGACTTGTGGACGATGGATTACTGTTGCTTGAATTAGCTAGGATATGTTGGCCTCTGTTAGACTGAGATGTTGGGCACTGATTCTCAACAGGTTCCACCTTCACCATCTCCAATTTAGGAGAGGAATGCAACTCATCTACTATCTGAAAGACAGCCTCTAGGTTTACTTCCGTCTTTTTATTTTCATCAGTAGCACTGCAAGGCCAATTAGAAGGCAAAAATTCAACTGGATAGGAGGATTGCATTGGAGGATTCTGGGAAAAGAGAAAATAGGACTGTTTGGATAGAAAATCAAATATGAGATTAAGGAGGAAAGAAACAACATTTAGGCTCACCAATGCTTAGTACATATGACTTATAAGCTTAAAGATCACTAAGAAAATCTGAATGCTAATCTTTTCAGCAATGGCAGCTTCAAATGTATTGTTAATATTTATTTAGTATCTACCATATGTCAGCCATTATACTAAGTTTAATACTGGAGTAAAGCACTAATTCTCAAGGTTCAAGTTCACAAAAGCAAAAAGCTATAATATCTAAATACCCATTTGCCAATCGAATGTCTACATAACCAAATTCTTCCATAAAGGTTTATAGTCAAAACATTATTTTATTTATATTATACTATCTTAGGAATACAGCAAGTAAATGGCAAACACAAGATGCTCATAAATCCACCAATCCTTCTACAGAATCAGGGGAAGGTACTGAATTCTGCTCCAAATGATCTGGGGAAAAAATGGATAGAATATCAATGTCCTTTGGTTCCTGAGATTACTTTCGATAATGAAACAACAAACCAGAATAGCTGTGCATTTAGTTTTATAACTTTAAGACATATCCATAAACATACATATGTATCTATTCATACTTATCTAAATAATGTATAAAGACATAAAGATCTTCATACAAATGTCTAAATTATTTATTTACATATATAGTGTTTTGCACAAAGTAGGCTTTCAATGTGTTTGCTAATTATCTCAGTTATAAACATAAAATACAGAAGAGCTATGAATAAATAGATACAAAGAATTGATGTTGTCAAATGTACTACAATGATGATATCATTGTTTTAGGAGGTTAATGCCCAATAAATTATGTAAATTCAAAGAGTATAAGTATCAAGCCATTACCATAGTATCATGAGTCTTTACTATGTGACAGAAACATAAAAAATACTCTATATAATAATTATTTCATTTAATGCCCATAAGAACCCCATGACAGGTGATATTCTCCATTTCCAAATGATAAAACTGAGGTTCAGAGAAATACCGTAATTTAATCAAAGTAGCAATGAAATAACTGACAGAGCCAGGTTTCAAGGTTTGCCTGACTCTAGATATTTTGCTCTCAACTATGACAATATACTGACCTTTGATACACATTCTCACCAGTACCTACAGTCTAATTGCACTGATTTTCAGGATGTACTCTGAAATGCTTTTCCTTTTTCAAGTTTTAAATTTTATGTCCCCTTATTTCTTTATTCCTAAAATAAACATGTACTACTGTTGTAGTAAGAAAAAATCTTCATAAAATGTTTAATTTAAAACATGAGGCAAGAGGATCATGAGTTCAAACCCAGCCTCAGCAACTTAGCAAGGCCTAAGCAACTTAGCAAGACCCTGTCTCTAATAAAATATTTAAAAAGGTTGGGGGATATGGCTCAGTGATTAAGTGCCCTGATACCAATCAATCAATCAAACATGAAAATAATCAAGATATAAATACTTTCAGATTATCTCCAATGTGATCCATGACTGTGTCTGGATCTACAAACAAGAGCATGGTGGGACAGGTATGTCCCTCCAGAGAAGAACAAACTGAGCACTGATAATGCTTGACGATACTGGCCATGAAAAACAGCCAACTAAGTTGCTTTGTCCCCTTGATCTGATTCTATACTCTTCTAACAATAATTTGATTATCTACTTACTTGTCATGTAGATTAAAAGAAAGAAATCTTATCCTATAAATAGCAATATAAAACATTTTAGTTAAAGCAATTATTTCCTAAGAAATAATAAGAAGATATTTGAAGAACAGTGTATATAACATTCAGGATAAGGCTAGGGACTATCTCTTGAATTTCTTATTTTTTGACATCAATTTTCCTTTTTTCTTAAAAAAAAAAAAGTCTTACCATCTTGGAAGAATTTGTCATTTGGTGACATATCTGGTATTCATAAAAAGTCTACAATAACACTATATAAAATACCTTTCAGCAATAATGGGAATGTTCTATTTTGGTGCTGAACAATTTGGGAGCCACTACTCATATGAGACTGTTGTACTTGAAAAGTGGCTAGGGTGATGAATACATGAACTTTAAAATTTCACCCCATTTCAAATAATTTAAATGTAAAAGGCCACATGTGGCTAGTGGCTACCATATTCGACAGTGCTACCCTAGAAGAATACTCAAAACATCATTCCTATCAATCCTCTTTTATTTTGAACTGAGAAGCCAGTGCAGTGGCGCATGTCTGTAATCCCAGGGGCTCAGGAGGCTAAAGCAGGCTAACTCAGGAGGATATCAAGTTCAAAGTCAGCCTCAGCAACAGTGAGACACTTAGCAATTCGGTAACACCCTGTCTCTAAATAAAACACAAACTAGGGCTGGGGATATGGTTCAGTGGTCAAGTGCCCCTGAGTTCAATCCCTGGTACCAAAAAGAAATTATTGAGAACTGAGAAAACTGAGTCCATAACCCAAGCTTACCTATGGCTACCTCATTAATATAAAATTACATTTTGAAATTTTGCAAGGTCAATAATATTGCACATGAAACACATCATATCCATGAATCTTACCTGGAAGTAGTTGCAGTGTGCGTAGGAAGAGGCAGTGGGAGTGACACAACTACTTAGAGCGTCCATGTGGGTAGAAGGAGAGCAGCACTGTAGAACAGCTGGAACAAATTTAAACACAGACAAGCCATCAACCAAAATAAATCTCTACACCATTCAAGGTTCTGCCCTCTTTTGATCTGGAAAGAAGTCCAAAGAAGAGCTTCCTTCATGTGTCTAAAAAAAATTGTATTTAGTCCAATCAGGTGCTATTTTTTTAAAATATCATGATTATATAATAAACTTTTTCATAAACTTTAAAAGGGTCCATGTCTACTTTTATAAGTGATTTCTTTAGCACCTAAACATTTTGTTACCTTTCTAATTAAACATTTCTTATTGAAAGTAATTTTAGTTTATTGAAAATATCAAAATATATTTGGAATTCCTAAATAATTGTTTCAATCATTTTAGCAGTAACAACCATTAAGAGGGAGGAGTGTTTTAAAAGAGTAAAATAAGTATAAAATATTCTCCAAATGTTCTTATCATTAAACAATGCATCTGGTAGAAATACATGCAAAAAATGTTTTAACATTTAGGCAAATGGGTAGGAATGTAGCTCCTAGAGCCAGACTGCTTGACTTTGGAGTTGAGATCCACAATTTAATAGCTGTATTAATTTGAGCATAGTTAACCTCTTTGGGTCTCAGGATAATAAATAAGGATAATAATAGACTCTACCTAATATGGTAGTTATGAGGAATGAATGAGCTAATATGCACAAAGCACTTAGAATAGTAATGGAAGACAGTAAGCAATCAACAAAAGCAGCTATGATTTTAACTAAAGAAACTATTTTTTGTGGTGCTGGGGATGGAACCAAAAAGTACATTTTTCCAAACTTTCTCTTTATAGTTAGGACACCACAAAAAGATCGATTCTTTGTACTGGAACGGTTATACTTACAGATGCAGTCTTAATAGGTTGAGTCTCCTCTTTTCCAGAGAGAGACTCTCCAGTACGAATGAGAATCAGTTATAACATCACACCTTTGGAGTAAACAGAGGATGGTATGCATTGAGTACCTACCATGCTCCAGGCACAGTGGTAGATGCTTTACATATATCACTTCAAGCAACAATCATATGAAGTATTAACATTACTTTATAAAATAAGGGAAATAAAAGATATTAATTTGCCAAAAGTCACAAAACTGATAGTGACAGCCAGTATCCAAACTCCAAAACACATGCTCTTTATAACACAGTACTTCCCTAAGCTTTCCTTTTTCCAGAAATGTAAAATTTTAATACCAAAAATTTAATTAAATAGAACTCTACTTGTTTATATAAAGATGTCTTTATCATAAAATGGCAACTTTCCCCTTTTATCTCCACGTTCTACCTTGTGACTGTGATAATAATATTACTAAATAGAAGCTGAGGCAAGAGGATTGATTCTAAGTTCAAAGCCAGCCTCAACAACTTAGCAAGGCCCTAAGCAACTTAATGAGACCCTGTCTCAAAATAAAAATTAAACAAAAAGGGGCTGGGTTTATGGCTCAGTGGTTAAGCACCCCTGAGTTCAATCCCTAGGTTAAAAAAAAAAAATTTACTAAGTAGCTGGGGATGTAATTCAGTGGTAAAGCACTTGTCTATCATGCATAGGGCCTAGGGTCAATCCCCAGCATGGCAAAAAAGGGAAAAAATTACTGAGTAATCCCATTTCTTAATCTTAGAAAGCAAATTAGCTGGAGGAGAGTAAAAATTGACACTACTATCAGGTATATCTAAAAAAGAACAAATTTAAAAATTAATTGAAGTGCTTCCCTATTTCTCCATTATTGACTATTGATTTTTAAAATATCAGATGTTCATAAAGGTATACTAGAAATAAATATTTTTACATCATATCATGTGCAATTTAAGACACTAAATTTTGCACAAAGAAAAATTGAAATAGTGGATAGAATCCTAAATTCAGATATAAATATGTGTTGATCTTCTCTGATTTATATGATTTTTAATAATTTTAGTGATGTTAAAAAGCCAGAAAAGGTCAGGTACTACAATGCACACCTATAATCCCAGTGATTCAGGAGGCTGAGGCAGTCCCATGTTTAAGGTCAATCTAGGTAACTTAGTGAGACCATGTCTCAAAGGAAAAAAGGAAAAAGGGCTAGGGATGTAGCTCACTGATAGAGCATCCCTGGGTTCAATCCCCAGTACCACACACACACACAAAGGCCATATATTATTAAGATCACTAGATAAAACTCTAGCTATTGTCACTTCCAATGCAAGTTAGGCAAACAGATGCCTACACTTGATCGTTGGGAGGTATTACCCAATTAAAATGTTTGGGGTTTGATTATGATTTCCCAAAGGTGTTTAAAAGCAAAAATATCTTGAGAATCCAAATATCTAACCACTAAAACTTTGGTACAATGTATACCCTGGAATTCTTACAACTAAGGAAAAAACCTAGTGCCCCCTAGTGTCAGGGAAAGATTTAGTTAAGAGCTGCAGGTATTCATCCCATCCCCATGCTGAAAAGTAGTGTTTCATTACAAATAAATCAATGACAGGGCTATATTTGTTTTGTCTGATATTTTAATGCTCTGGATCTACTAATTACACACTTTGAATAGTTGTTGAAATGTTCTTTAAAATAAATTTCTTGGAGAAATAAACTACAACACTCAATAGAGAATATATTAATATATAGTTGATAGCTCATTTGTATGAAAGAAAACAGCAAAACAGTGAATGTCTGTTAAAATTTCCAAAAAAAAATGAAAAGTAAAAATGTACCTGTATGAAGAAAAGGAGGACTTGAATAGATTACAATTCTAAAATATTCCTCAATGGCTATTTCCTTACCAGTGCAATTCCACTTTGTACAACCAATAAAACAGAACAAAGCAAGATATTAATAAGTTTACTAATTAGGAAACCTAGGTATGAAAATCCAATATGTGCCTAATATAGGAAAAATTAATCTGTGCATTATGAAAGCACTAAAAATTATAAAACTGAATATCACTATGTGCTAAGACATTCATCTGCATAAAGATCTTCCGGGTCTTCATGAAGGCAATGTTCAATGAAGGTATTAAACCTTATGCATGAAAGTAAAAGGTGTAAATGAACAGAAATTCATTTCAAATATAAGCATTGATAACATTTTTAAAAATCTGAGTAATAAAAAAGCCAGAATTACTCATAATTATTACTCTGATCATAGGTGAAGCAAACAAGTTTGTACACTTTACCCTATGGAAGTAATTTCAAGTATATAATTGTTTTGGATTTGAATCTCCTCCAGGATAGCCCAGTGTTAACAGTAAGAAAATGTCCAATAATATAAATGCTCAAAAGAAACAGAAAATTTAATAGTTAATTTAATTTCAAGATAAGTTACTATAGCAACTAGAATTCCAATATCTATGAAGAGGTAAAGAAAAGGTCTTCTGGGCATATAGTCATTGATTTACAATGTTTTCATTTATGAATTTTCGACTTTACAATGGTGCGAAAGGCATATGTATTCAGTAGAAAACAGACATTGATTTTTAAATTTTTATCTCTTTCTTAGTGACATGAGGCACCATTCTCTCTCTTGAGATGCTGGATAGTAGCAGTGAGCCACAACTGGATTATGAGGGTAAACAATCAATACTCTATAATGTATTGTATTACTAAGCTATGATAATTTGGTATGGTAATTTTACATAATATTTTCAACATATGATAGGTTTACTGGGACATAATCCCATTACAATTCTAGATGCATCTGAATACCCAAAAGAAGTGAATACAATGCAAAAAGTGAAAGAAGTAAAAAAAATATTTGTACATCCATGTTCCTAGTAGCAATATTTACAATAGCCAGAGGGTGAAAGCAACTCAGTGTCCTTCAGCAGGAAAACAGATAAATAAAACGTGGTACATATACATTATCATTCAGCCTTTTAAAAAGGAAACTTTGACACATACACGTAGTACAATGTGGATGAACCTTGAAGACATTATACTAAATGAAATATGCCAGACACAAAAGGATGAATATTACAGCATTCCTCTTATATGAGGTTCCTATCTATAGTATTCATAGAGACAGAAAGCAGAGTGGTGGTTTCCAGGGGTAGGGAAGGGAAGAATGGGGAATTAGTGTTTTAAGGGGTTCAGAGTTTCAGTTGGGGAAGATAAAAAATTATGGAGATGCAGGTTGTTAATGGCAAAATGTATTTAATGCCACAGAAAACATTAATTAATATGTTAAGTTTTATGTTATGGATATTTTACTACAATGAAAAAGGCAAATCTGCTTTCACTTTGTTTCTCTTGGCAGGTAAAACAAAAAAAAGAAAAAAGTCTTCCTAGTTACAAGTTCCTATTTTATGCAAACACAAAATCAAGATTTTTCAGAGAAATTGACAATATAGGCTACCTGTGCACAAGAGTAACAGTGCTAGAAAACCATTATAACTCCATATTCTATATTTGCTCATGCACATTATTGTAGGACTACAAATCTATAAATTTCAAACCTTTAAAATTTAAATGTACTGTGCTGTATACCCAGTGGTAGAGTGCCTCTGCCTAGCATGAATAAGGCCCTGGGTTGTACCTCCACCCCCAAAAAAAGATTTAAATAGACTTTAAAACATTAATAAGCAACACTTTTTACCCAAAGGCCAATTTGGAAACATTTGAAATAATGATAGGATATATAGTTTTCATTAAAAATATCATGTGTACCTTAGGGAAAAGTATATATTCTTATAAATTTTTAGCCCATAAAGTATTTTTTAATAAATTAGGTATATATATTTTTAGTTGTTGATAGACCTTTATTTTATTTGTTTATATGTGGTGCTGAGAATTGAACCCAGTGTCTCACACATGTCAGGCAAGTATACTACCACTGAGCCACAGCCTCAGCCCCATAAAGTATTTTTCAAAAAAAATTTTTTTTAGATGGGCACAATACCTTTATTTTATTTATTTATTTTTATGTAGTGCTGAGGATTGAACCCAGTGCCTCACACATGCTAGGCAAGCGCTCTACCTCTGAGCCACAATCCCAGCCCCTAGTCCATAAATATTAATATCTAGGCTCATTTTATAAAGATTTAAAACATTTTATATCTTACATGTAAATCATGTTTCAAATCAAAAAATCTATTTATATTCATTAATTCATTTAGTTTCTGACCCAAAGTATCAAGGCCACTTTATATAGGAAAAGAATTTGAGGTTTAGTGAGGTAAAACAATCCACTGAAAGTCACATCAGGAGATTAACTGCAAAATTGGGACTAGAGCTAGTTCATTCCATTCAATAAATTATTTACTAAGGGCCCAATATAGTCAAGCACTATGCTAGGTGTAGGGGATACAGAAATGAGTTAGAGGCAGCTCCTCTCCCCAGAGCTATCAAACTAAATCTCCTACTCTAACAACTGGAGTATGTTCCCTCTATTTGGACAGAATAAATCAATAATCCAAAATAGTAACATTACCACCAGAAGGAGACAACTGTAGATCTACCATCAGTTTCTGAACTATCTAACTTATCTGGGAATAACTAAATCTGGGAAAGAGATAACACTAGAAGATTCCCTGAAAAAAAGATAAAAGACCCTCCATGAGAGGCAGGCAGGCAGGCAGGCAACAGAGCATAGTGGCCAAAAGAAAGCACTACTGAACCAGATTGCAGGGGTTTCTTTCCCAGTCTGTCACTTACTAGTTATGCTTCAGTCTCCCCATCAATAAAATGAGGATAATTATACTACTTATCTTATAAGCTAATTATAAGGATTAAATGAATGAATATTTGAAAAGTATTTGGAAGACTGCCTTGTCATCATGATTGCCATGTATTTGTTAAATAAATTATGATATTAATGGCAGCTATAATTTCTTAATATTGTGAAAACTCAAAATGTAACTGTGAAAAGGAGGCAAAGTTGATTTTGAGCTAATTCCGAATTATGTTAAAGAAATATTCCTTGATACAGGACTCTATATGTAAATATGAATGTATGAATATGAATGTATGCTCAAATACATAGTGGAGAATGAGTAAAATAAAAAGGCCTAAAAATGAAGTTTTTTTTAATAAAAGAGGGAAATTATATTATACTAGCACATTGAAAAAAGCATCAGAGAAAAAAACTAAATTCTAGATAGGGCAAGACTAAAAAGAGTCAGCTAATACTGGATAAAGGATACTTTGTCATTTGAGGGAGTGATAAAAACAAAAAAATGTAAACAAGCTAAGCAAAGAAAACTGACACTTTTAGGGAAGGACAAGAAATAAAAGGTGATTCTGATGAGTCATTTCATGAGTCAGTCCAAAGGCAATTCTTTAGTCTCAGAGTTTGGCTTTACTAGAGAAATTAATAATTTATGAAATATAAAATTCAAAATGTACTATTTGAATCAAGGCCAGATCTAAGTTTATTTTGAACACAACAAATCTGTATATGGAGTGTTGTTTTAAAACTTGATTGAGGAGCTGGGGTTATAACTCAGCGGTAGAGCGCTTGCCTCATGCACATATGGGGCACCACATAAAATAAATAAATAAAAGATAAAAAAAAAAAACCTTGATTGAAACCTCAAGTCAAATAGTTCATTTGGAAAGGTCTAAATTAGTCCTTTTGTTATAATTTAGATGAATATGAGTGATCACCACCTTTTCTCTGCGAGCCAATATTCTATGTAATTTTGGGGAAATAATCTGTAATGATGTTCCTAAATAGGCCTCAACAAACATTGGTGAGATTACTCATTAGTTTTTGCTTCCTTCACCCATAATTTGGAAGAATTAAATACTTGTACAGTATTTTTATGGTACTTTCTTTTCTATAGCAGTTCTTTTATATTTAACTAAACAATTTATTTACATAATATTCTGAATGTTCAAAGTAATATTACCTACTTTTATCATAGAACTATTCTATGTATTAGAAGTTATCATGAAATTTCTTATCCTTCTAACCTCAGAAACTTTAAGTCCCTATTAAAGGAGACCAATAAAATAAAAATTCAAAAAACACAAGATTCTATTTTATAAGTGCTTGTATACTACAAAAAACATTTTTGCTTCTCCTTTAGTCCTGGAGCTGAAACCCAGGCCTCATGCTAGTCAAGTGAGCTACACCTCAGGTCACTTGCTTTTTTTAAAACGACTCTTTTCTAGTCCTTACATTGAACTCTTGGAAATGACTTTCAATTTATAAGTTTACAACAAAGTTAAAATATTTTTAAATAATATATCCAAGATCATCATAATTTAACAAATAGTATTTCTACAATGAATGAATAATATTAATTGATGTGGTTGTTGGTGTTGTAAGCAATACTTATAAAATTTAGAACTAAGAGTTTCTACGAGGGTTGCCTGGAACTTAGAAGAGAAACCTCCCAGAGAAACAACATACAGACTATAACCATTTATACCTTAAAGATTATAGCAATACAGCACCCAGCCACCCTATCTAATATTTCCAAAGGGAAATACCTCCAAAATTCCAAATTGAAAGGTCAGAGCACATTTCTACACCTTTCTGCCGTAGTCCTTCCAAATTCCAACTCTACAGAAGCTTCTGAGTCTTTAGTAGTTAAAAAACAAAACAACAACAACAACAAAAAAAAAAAAACAAAGGGAAACATTTATGGCAATTCTTTAGTCTCAGTTAAAAGGAGGGGATTAAGAGAAATGAAATGTAAATCAAGAAAGACAAAGTCTGCCTCTCTATATATTCTATGCGTACATGGAATGTGGGCAAAATAAGAACTTTGATAGCAATGCCTAATTTATTATAATATTAGATCAAACTCTCTAGTAATAAAAATCCAACCAACACTTACTGCTATATTTAAGATACATAACTTATAAACATGAAATTAGTCATCTTTTATTTTTAAAGACTGCATAAATTTAAAAAAAAAATTTTTAGTTGTCAATGGAACTTTATTTATTTAGTTATTTATATGTGGTGCTGACAATCGAACCCAGTGCCTCATATATGCTAGACAAGCGCTCTACCAATGAGCTACAACCCCAACCCTAAATTTTTTTTCTTCAAAGTAATTGCTGAAAATTTGGGAAAAAAATCAGGCCTAAAGGATTTCAATATAAGACAATCATTTTCTTCTATTTTTTATTATGCAAAATGATTAAGTTATGTCATCTTTACTCCATACAATTCACTTCCCCTTTTCCTTCTCAACTCCTTCCACCAAAAGAACAGCAGCTCTAAAAAGCTATAGAACCCCGCTTAATTTAAATTCTAGTTTTGTTATTTTAATATCTATAACATTAAATGTTTTGGGAAAACAAAGCAATCCTTTTTACTTCTACTTTTAGGTAGAATGCATTAAGTCAATAGTAAAAGTACATAGTTGAATATTAACAACTAGAAAATATTAAGTACTATTACAAATAGAACAGGCACCAGATTTATAACTTTGTAACAACTTACCCTTTCCTGATTTACATTTCTTTCACTTATTTATTTATATTTGTTAAGTCCTTCCTGGAAGAAATGGTCTAACAAAATACTTCCAGAGATTGATTACAGATCTATAAAACTGAGAAAATTAATGCTTCCAGATTCTTAATTTTTAGGACAAAGAAATGCCGTGTTCCTTCTTTCTGGTCTTTTCTGAAGGCTCTGACCCTTCTATAGCCCCATTTCATCGTTCTGTGTAAAGTATATTACATAATGAAACACTTAACACTTCTATAGTGTTTCTTCAAACTAGAAAATAATTTGAAATAAGACCATTATCTTGCAAAAAAGATATATTAAAAAAATTTTTTTTCCTTTTCTGAGAAGCAAGACTCAAGGTTACTATTATAAGGATTCCCAGTTAATGGCTTGGGATCTATCAGCATATCCTCAATTCTTGGTTGAATGCCAGGTCAGCTGCCATTGTCAGTTTCCCCTGCTGTTATTCTCCAGTTTTTATTTGGCTGTGATGAGCATTGAAGGGACTTCATTATTTACCATGTTTTACTAATGAATTTAATTTTCAGAGAGCATGCTTTTTTAATAAACTTCAGACTGAGATACTAAAATAATTTCACTATGAAACTTCATTTATGATATTAAAGACAAAATATATCACATACAAAATATATTTTAAAAAATAAAACATTATACCAAGGGCAAAATTAAAGTAAGGTTCCAGAATACTAAGTCTTAATTATAAAAATAGAACACATTTTGAGAATACAAAAGGTTTCACTGAAAACATACCCTTTTTTAGGCATCAACAAAATTTTCACAATCCTTAAGTACACAAAAAATTTTATGTATTGTTTTAAAATATTTCCTAATAAATCTTTGACATTTTTTAATATTCACACCACCTATGTTGAAGCACACAGAGACTAAAATGAATTAAAATATAAATATGGTTATAAACTACCTTAATAGAAGACAGTGAACTTGAACTTCTCATACCTGTTGGATAGTAGGCTTGGGAGTACTGCGCTGAGGGTGTGTAGTTACTATATTTTTGGGAGGAGCTGACCATTGTTTGAGGGCCTTGTTGAACGTGTACAGATGTGGCACTGGGCTGCAGTGTATAGGTAACCTCGGTTGGAAACCTCTGCAGTACAGGAAATGGAACCCCTTTATCTGAAAAAGTAGGAGATGTGTCCACTTGTCCAGGGTGCATTCCAAGGGAGTTCTGCCATGTTCTTGGAGGAATCGGGGTCCGATCTAAACCTTTCAGAGGGAAAGTACTGTGGTTGTGGGATGAAGCTGATACGTAGGAATAAGGAGACAAACTATCTCTCCGGAATGACCGGTGAAATTGTCCTACAGCCACTGGTCCTGCATAAAAGAGGAAGAGCACATTTACTAATTTTACATTAAACCACCAGACATAGTAAACCAAAGGTCAAAAAAATACTTTAGAGGCTGCGATTGTAGCTCAGTGGTAGAGTACTTGCCTAGCATGTGTAAGGCAGTGGGTTCAGACCTCAGTACCACATAAAATAAATAAATAAATAAATAAAATAAAGGTATAAAAAATACAAAAACATTTTTAAAAGGATTCAACAATTAAAAAAAATACTCTTGTTCACCTATCAGCTGTTTAACACAACAGAAATTTAGTTTCGGCAAAAGCAAGTTCAGAATCCAGAATATGGATTTATACATACAATGCTGAAAGAATAAACAACCTTTTGTTTTGTTCTCAAATTACTGTCATAAGAGGTAAAGTCCAACATCATTAAATCAAAGGTTAAATAAAACATTCAAATTAAACCCTTTTATAGATGATTTTGGTCATATTATCTTTATAAAAAAATATTTTTAGTTGGAGATGGACATAATACCTTTATTTTTTTTTCTTAATGTGGTGCTAAGGATCGAACCCAATAACTCACATGTGTGAGGCAAGTGCTCTACCACTGAGCTACAACGCCAGCCCCCAGCCATATCATTACCTTTTACCTCAGTTGACTGACCTAGATTTTTCCAAAGTGTAAACTACTCCCTAGAAGTTTTCCATTCATTCTTTCAAACCTTTTAGGGGAAGCTTATTAATGATCAGAAAAATAAGCACTCTATCATATACATAAAAAATGTGTAGAATAAATAATGACATGAGCCAAAAATAATGTAATGAGCCAGTACAGTGGCCCATGCCTGTAATCCCAGCAGCTCAGGAGGCTGAGGCAGGAGGTCAAAGCCAGCCTCAGCAACAGTGGGGGTGCTAAGCAACTCATTGAGACCCTGTCTCTAAATCAACCCATCATTTTCCCTGGTCTTTTTTTCCTTTAGGTTTCTCTAGTAGTGACCCTGCCCAGATCTCAGTGGCCTTCAAACACTGATATACATCTGAATCATCTGGAGAGTTGTTAAAACATACCAGCTTCAAAAGATTCTCATGCACATAATTCTTTCCTTTATCTAGTAAGGTAGAAAGTGAAAACATGAGGGAGAGAGAGAGGAGGTAACAGTATGTAATAAGAAAGAATATAAGTGTTGTAGGCTAAACTTTATTTTATAGATCATGATTCTTGAATATAAACAAAGATAGCCTAATTTACTCCTAAAGAGTTCTGTCCCTGGTATGATGGCACATGCCTGTAATCCCAGCAACTCAGAAGGCTGAGGCAGGAGAATAGGAAGTTCAAGGCTAGCCTCAGCAACTTAATGAGGTCCTAAGCAACTTGGCAAGACCCTGTCCCTAAACAAAATATACAAAAGAGAAGAGGATGTGGCTCAGTGGTTAAGTGCCCCTGGGTTCAATCCCCAATACAAAATAAACAAATAAATGTAAAAAAGTTCTCTGTTAAAATTATGTGGTTTACAAATTGGATTCAATTTATTTCATAAATCTGTAAAACAGAGGGAAAATCTATCTTACATGCTACTCAAGTCCTAAACTACATGTTGAAAGATGATACTCAAATATTCTAGCCAGGTATAGTGGTGCACATCTGTAATCCTAGCTACTGGAGAGACTGAGGCTGAAAGATTGCAAATTCAAGACCAGCCTGGGTGAGACTCTGTCTCAAAATAAAAATTTTAAAAGGCTGAGGATGTAGCTCAGTGGCAGAGTGCTTGCCTAGCATGTGCAAGGCCCTGGGTTCAATCCTCAGTGCCCTCCCTCTCCCAAAACGCTACTTTTCAAAATAATTAGATTAGAAAACTTTCAATTCTGGAGGCCTGGAAATCAATCTAATGAGAGAAATAAAAATCATCTAATGAGAGAAATAAAAATCCTAATTCAGAAGACTGATTATATTCTAATTATACATCTCTTTAAAACAACTATTCCTTTAAAGTACCAAAACTAGTTTTTATGATGCTATTTGACTAGTAATTCCATATGTATGCATACTTTGAACTTGCAACTGACAATCCTGTTTTCCTAAAAAAATTGTTACTCTTCACAATGGATATTTCTAGGTGTCTCAAACTACCCCCACTTGATTTCTCCTTGGATGTATCTTCAAATGACAAAACTACATGTTGCCTACAGTCAGTAGCTCGCTAGTTCTTCTACCCTCTTCAGGGATAACCTATGAATTAATTTTCAGAATGTCAATAACTTAAGCGGCAAAATAAAGAATTCTCTACCTTGATTTCTCAAATTGTAGTTTATATCTGAATTAAAATATAAATTCTACTTCCATCATGATAAACTTGAGTGATGGTTAATTATCTATTTTCTTTTATTTTTTTAACAGATTTTTTTTTTTGGTGTTGATGGACCTTTATTTTATTCATTTATTTATATGCGTCGATGTGAATCGAACCTAGGGCCTCACACATGCTAGGAAAGCACTCTACCACTGAGCCACAACCCCAGCTAATTATCTATTTTAAATGCTGACAACATAACAATACTGTCAAGATTAGAAGGGCATTCTTTTGTTTTTTTTTTTTTAAATGAAGTCCTGAAATACATTCACCTCTTAGTTATTCTTCTATTAAGTGTTACCTCATAGGGCTGTATTCTGACAAACTTTATAAAGATTCGTCTATGTCATTATCTCTAAGATATATTTGGCAAAGTTTGAGTCCTGAATTCTAGAAATGTAGGGTAGAATGGTTTTGTTTTTAAAGATTCTACTCCTTTTTTAGAAGTGAAACTAATCAATTGCCAGGGAAGAATCCCAAAACTTGCCTGTTGAACCCAGGCAAAGAGAGATTATCTATTTCCCAGACTTGCTACTTAGTTTAGAACATTTTAACAAATACTGGAAAATAAATTGCCACCAAAAACAAAATAACAAAAGCAGATGAATAAAAAAGGGAAAAACATGGGATCTTCACATTTCTTATCAAGTACATTCTTGAAAGGTGAACAAGACAGTTGGCTCAGTGGATCTAAATAAGAGAACTAGGTCCTAGAATAGATGATTTTACTGTAAAAAAGAATATTCAAACCATAAACTGAAGTAGAAGACAGAAAACAAAATGAAAACTAGGAAGCAGCAGTGTACTCAGGCATATAATCAATGCAAGACTCAAGTAGAATAAAAATTAGGTGTGGAAAAAATAGAAAAGCCAAGGACTTAGAAAATATAAAGAGAACAGGGCTGGGGATGTGGCTCAAGTGGTAGCATGCTCTCCTGGCATGCGTGCAGCCTGGGTTCGATCCTCAGCACCACATACCAATAAAGATGTTGTGTCTGCCGATAACTAAAAAAATAAATAAGTATTTAAAAAAGAAAATATAAAGAGAACAAAACAACGTTGTACTGGTATTCTTGAATCTATAACAGAATTATATTCCACCTAAATCAGAAACACAATTCCCTAGTAAAGCAAGGCTGTGAAGTACACAATCCACAATTAACATCCTTCTGCACGTGCCAACAGGTAGAATAGCAAAAAAAAAAAAAAAAAAAAGCATGAAAATAACAATTACCTAGGTATTAATATATTACCTATACCGAGAAGAAATGGATTAATTATTCTCAACAAACAGTAATCTTTAAAATGCCAATAACTGAATTATAAGTGAAAAAAATCAAATTCTAGATAATCTTTCTTTGTATTTCTTTAATTAAAATGAACTCTATCCTTAGAATACAAATTGGTTTAAGGCAGATTAGAGAAACTGGGTATAGTAATTCTAGTTATTTAGAAGGCTGAAGCAAAAGAATCTCAAGTTCAAGGCCAGCCTGGGCAATTCATTGAGATCTTATGTCAAAATAAAAGTAAAAAGGGCTGGGGATGTAGTTCAGTGGTAAAGTACTCCTGGGTTCAATCCGCAGTACCCCTCAAAAAAAAAAAAAAAAAGTAAGTGAGCAGGATCAAAGAAGATACAAAGGCAAGCAAAAGTTGGCTTTTACATGTTTCTTCGTTTGAAATGGTTATCCCATTTCTCCCAAGAATATATTTTCTAGTCTTTTCTCCTTATGCCCACTAGAGACACAACCTGGAGAAAAACAAAACAAAAAAGGACCATGTCAAGATATTCTGCCAAATGTCTACCACGGTATTGTCTCCATTGTCTTTCCCCATATAATTCACCATTGAAATCAATGGCCATCACCTGGAAGTGGCTTGATATTCCTTTAGAATTCCTTTAGAACATTCCTCTGCCACTGCTATTTCCCCAAGTTGACAACAGAACTCTAACTTAGTCCCTTATCTTCTAAACTCCACAGACACAAAACCTGGTCCCTTATCTTCTAAATTCCAAATGAAGAAAGTACTGTCTTGGTACTGGGCCTAAGTAAAATTGAACACAGTGTTATTTGCACACTTTAATTTTTTCTGAAACTCAAAAAAAAATAACTCAGATTTCTCTATGCTAAATCCATGATAATGCTGAAAATGTTTGTTATTCTCCTAGCTGAAGCAGAGTAATAAATTTTCATCATATTCTGTTGCTTTCTTAGTGTACTGTTTCCTATCTTAGACTCTTTACTAGGAGAAAGGGAATATTGCCAACTTCACCTTCCTTGCAGAGGGGTAAGAATATCAGATTCATAAAATAATTCTCTATTGCTAGGGTTTCTGAATTTATTTAAATGCTGACTTACATAAAGACTTTTCAATGCTGAAAGAGTATGGCTAGTAGTGAAAAATCCAAAGGCCATAAATGTGTGCTTTCTACAATTCTTTTTAACTGAAACAAGTAAACCATTTTTGCCTTGTTTGTCTAAGCATAACACCTAAGTCATGGGCATCAAGCTCTCATTAACTGAAACAAAAGAAATATTTAGCTAATTCATTCTACATAGGAACAATATCTTGTAAATCTATATTTTTGCCCTTAAGAGATACAAACAATGTCTACCATGCTACACATTATTTGGAAACTTAAATCTTATTACTGTTATACCACTTCTTCCAAGATTTCTTAGATGTGTCAGGTAGTGAAAGGTAGTCGTATATCCCTTCAAGGACAAACTTCCATTCAAGGTACCTTTTTCCAACTTTCCACGTTCCATTGGTTTGTACAATGTTCTAAGTTTTCTTAGCTGTGACTTTGTTCCTTGACGCCTTAACCTGCAGAGTGACTGTGCTCTGCTTCCTGCTGGAGCAATACAGGCCCTTCTCGGTTTCTTTCAGACCCTGTGCTTCACAACAGGACTATTTATTCTAGATGGTCACAGTAGAGAAACTGGGTCCTGGGAAGGTAAATGACTATGGGCTTTGGGAAGCTGGTAAATTCTTGAGGTTCAAACTCTTGGGGAAGGGGGGGAGCCTAAAGCAGAAGTCCCTCTTGCTGCTAGTGGACACAGAGAAGCTAAATGCTCACACACTCAATCTAGAGCACTGGGGCGAGAGTGATGCTAGTGAAGCGGGTCCCCAGCACCCTCGCCACACCACCTAGGTGAGGATGTGCAGAAATACTCTCTGGCTGTAGCACCCTGCTGCCCGTGTGCCCACGGAGGGCGAGTATCCAAGCGTCCAGACTCACCATGCGGCTCTGGCCGGGGCCCCGCGGGCGGCGGCGGCGGATCCTGGTGCTGCAGCGGGGAGGTGGAGGCCGAGGCCGAGGCGGAGGCTGACGTGATGAGGAGCCTCTGGAAGCGGTTGGGTGGGCGGCAGGGCACCTCCAGGCCGGCCGCCAGCTTGGCCTTGTTGGCACTGGTGAGCCTCTTGAGGTGCACGAGCAATTGCGGCTGATCACGGCGGAAATGCGGGCTGTGGAAGTGGTGGAGTGGCCCATCGCCCGCCGGTCCGCCGGCCCCTGGCCCAGGCCCTGGCCCCGCCGCGCCCGGCCCACCCAGCACCACCTTTCGGAAGCCGTAGAGGTTGAGCTGGCGGATGAAGCTGGTGAAGTTGGTGGTTTTGAAGAGCTCGGGCTCGGCCCCGGTGGCCCCCACGCCGCTGCCCCCAGCGCCACTGCCGCCTCCAGCTCCCGGCCCAGGCGGACTGAGCAGCTCAGCCTCAAAGAGCGGCTGGTCGATGAGAAGCCCCTCGCCGCGGCCATCCCAGCGGATCGAGCGGTACCGGGGGCTGTTCACCAACCGCCACAGCTTGGCGGGGAAGTTGTTGGGGTTGATGGGGGTGGAGAGCAGCGCCTCCTCCATCACCCCCGCCCGGGCCCTGGGCCTCGCCCCACCGAGCCTGGCTCTCCCACCCCGTTCTCGATCCCCTCGGCCTTCGCTTCGCCCTGCCCCCTCCTGCCAGCGCCCGGACGCTGCAGACCCCGGGACCGTTGGCGCACGAGTCCCTACCGCGCACTCCAGCGCGGCCAATGGGGCCTCGAGTTCCTGCCGCGTGGCCAACGCAGCGCGAGGCGGCCCTCCCACTAAGCGGCGCGAGGCCAGCGCCACCGGACGCCAGCGGCGGCCTGGGACATGGATGGGAGAAGGCCACATTCCTTGGCGTCCCCAAACCGCCCGGGCGGGCGGAGGAGCGTCGCCCACCAGGGAGTTCTAAGTCCTGCAAAGAAAGAAGCCCAGTTATCCACAGTGGAACACCAAGGGTCGGGTACTTGAGCACAGCCAGCGTGTGGGGATTCAGAATGCAGACAAGTCTGCCTTAAGCAACGCAGAGCCACGTTCCTGAGAACAAAGGACCTAACTCTAACTTGAACCAACAGCTGAACTGCCGCTCCTGCCAAAAAATAATGGTGGGGGTGGAGGTGCAATATCCCAAGTAAATAAATTCATCTTTTTAGATAGTAGCATTTTTTAAAAATTTATTTTCATTTTATGCGACACAATATCTTTATTTTTATATGATGCTGAGGATCGAACCCAGTGCCCCACGCATGCTAGGCGAGAGCACTCTACCACTGAGCCACCACCCCAGCCCCTAGATAGTAGCATTTTATATCTTAAAAATACATGCTTCTAAGCCAATATTTTGCTCAGTTTACTCAAGGTTTGATGAAAACAGGTGCCTGGCAGAAGGATATCACTAGAATACAATTCTGTGTGCTTTCAACCAGCTGGTGACATTTCAAACATTAAAGGGAAACCTCATCTAGATGGGACAGAATTCTATAGAATCCTTAAGAATAAATCTATTCAGGGTTGAGGATGTAGCTCCAATGAGTTTCTTGCCTAGATGCAGGAGACTATAGGTTCCATCCCAAGCCCCATAAAACTGAAAATGAGTAAATATATCCCTAACCAATCAATAAGCTCAAATACAACAAAAGCTGTGCTGATTTTTTTTAAAAAAGAGTCCATTTTAAAAGTGGAAATTGTTAGAGGAAAGAGGTTAATGTTTTAGTTCTTTTTTCACGGTCAAAAGAACAATGAATATGTTTACTTAAAAACTAAAAGGAATAAAAAGACCCAACAAAGCAGCACTAATATAGAGATTTTATTTAAACTGTATTGAGTTTTTACAGCACATTGCATGTTTGTCACAACGCAACTGCACAGTTTGGATTTTTGGCCACATCATGTCACTTACACCCACAACAGCTCTGAAAGGAGTATTTGATGAACGGATCTGAGCCAAAAGCCCAGAGTCTCTCTCCAAGGCCATGCAGTTTATTCACTGATGGGACAATCCCTCAAAACAGCCACACAAAAAAGACAGATACAGTCTCCCCAAATGTTACCAATATTACTCCCCCTGAAAACAGGCAGAGTGAAGTGCAATCAAAGTAAAGTTAATTAAAAAGCCACTCATGACTGGCAGTAATTTTTAATGATTGAGAAAATGGTTAAAAGAATTTTATGTATCAGAGACAAGGAAGAGTTTGTTACTTTTTCAATGATCTCAGGAATTTCCCAGACACAAAATCTCCATTATTCAGCTCCATTTAAATGAAAAAAAAAAAAAAAAAAAAAGTTCTGCTAGGCTGACCTAAATACGCCAAAACTTTTTAGGTTACATCCATGGCAAGTATAAAAGCAGCACAGATGCTTCTCTGTAGACTGAAGAAAAGGGCAGGACAAATAACAATTCTTATTCTAAATGCAGATTCTAGTTATTTTGGAATGAATTTTTTTTTCTAGAAAGCAACATGAAAGTAGCAGTTAGAAAGACAACTACCACAGTTTTAAAACAGAATAAGCCTAAATGTCATTTGCCTTTTATACACCAATGACTTAAGGAAAATGTATAAAGGAAATCCTAATGGTTTCATTATAGAACAAGGAGACTGTATCTGTCCCAACCACAGTACATGGCTACATCACTATCTTTTGGTTAAGTGCCACTGGTACATATTAAGATGAAAAAAACAAAATCAAAACCAAAATAAAAAAAATTTTTTTTTTGGTCCACATGGACACATTTTCTCTCCCAATTTTGGTATCAAGGCTTCATTCTCTTGTTTGGGTTCCATTGTTAAGTGCACAAAAATAGACAGCAGCATTTGTACTGAAACCCTCACATACCAAACAGCATATTCTAGGAGGTAAAAACCAAACGCAAAATTCTACCCTCAAGGTGTCAAGTGTTCAGGATAAGAAGCAGTGTGACTCAGAGGAGGCAGCAGCCAAGGGAAAGACAACATGGGGGAAATGGGCAATGGAATAACAACAAAAACCTTTGTTTTATTTTCATGCCAGGAGAGGATCAAGGTGGAGCTCCTGTATTAGCACCAGGACAACTAGGAAAAGTCAGGCGCGAAGGGTAGGGCACAATCAGCAGATATTTCACAAGATAATTTTTGCTTCTCCCTTCTCATTCACAGTGCATACCTCCAGAGCTGCCTTGGCATAACAGAGTGACCACTGCCTTCACAGCTCTGATTTTTTTCCAAGACTAAACATCAGCAGAGTTTTCTTCTGCTCCCAAAAATGTCTCACTCCCTAGAACTGTCCCCCTAAACTGAATATTCACTGATGCTGGCTGATGAGCCAAGTGAAAAATACATTGAAACCTCCACTTGGCCAACCAGTCTTTAAACCATACTTCACAGAAAGACAGTACTAATTGCAACTAGAGGGAGTGCCTCTAAAGACTGAGCCTTCATGCACAGACACAGAGCACAGAGGTACAGAAAAGAGTTCATCTCGAATCGGATAGGAATTCCTATCTTGTATACTATAATCTGCTTTTTTCAAGGTGGAGGAGAAATGGGTCTGGTTATCACTTGCAGTTTGGTTATACATATGCCTTTCTATTGCTGTTTGGACACCTTGCACCAGGCAGTATCTATGAAATCATCATCTTGTGACCCCCCAGGAGAAAGAAGCTGGAGTCACCAACTCAACATTAAGCTTCCAGACTCTGGGTCTGGATCAGGACCATTACCCTAAGTTGAGGGTCTCTCCAGAAAAGGACCTCTGCCAAATTGAAATTCCTCTGCTCCAGTCTCAAAGTACCAAGTAGGATTTCTCAAGATGATATCTTTGAGCTCTGTGATTTCATGAGCCATACCAAGGAACCTTTCAAACTACACCTGAAGCAGATCTTCCCTTCAAACCTGTTAAAACTGGACAGGTCATCTCCTTTGCATTCAACTGGAAGCTGTAGCGATGGGTTTCTTCAGATGTTGGCTCATGAGCTCCCTGGCACGAGATACTTGAATGTGTTCGTAACATGAGTTACAGACGAGAACTGGGTCATAGAGCTGTTGATCAGGAATGGGCAGCTTCAGGTGGCAGCATCCAGCACAAAATACATTCCCACAATTTCTGCCAAAACACAAAGAAGGAAGAGTTAATCAGAAATGCCAGTATGCTGAGAAAGAATTACAATCTAAAAGGCCTTCCATGAATGAACAAAGAGAAAGATCGGTGCAAACATGATTCCTATAAGGCTTTATATCTCCATTTTCAGAGTAATTCAAATTAGTTCAATAACTATGTGCTGCAGTGTTTTTTTTTTAATATTTATTTAGTTGTAGATGACCACACAGTATCATTATTTATTTTATGTGGTGAATTGAATGTGAGGATTGAACCCAGTACCTCACACATCTCGAGGCAAGCACTTTACCACTGAGCCTCAGCCCCTATGTACTGCACTATTTTATGAGTCACACAGAACATCTTACCTGCAATGGTGTCTTCGTTTGGCCAACCAGAATTCACAGTCACAGTTATAGCAATGTGATGCCATATGGTCTGGAACCCAGCGAGTCACCTAACAAAAGGCACAAGGAAAAATCCTAGGTCCTTGTCAATAGAATGGAAGAGCAACATTACAACAAGGAGAGCAGCCCAGGTGAAAATTACATGCATCTGGGGGAAAGGTCAGTCTATAGCATGTGACTTATCTCTGAGAAATATAACCCATTAGCTCACATTAAGTACCCACCACATATTTGCCTAGACATACCTCAGTCTCCTTCTTATCCACAGGTTCCCAACTTGCTTCTGAAAGGCAGTCTTCACTGTGATCAGAGCCAAAATCTTCTGTATCACTGCCATCTGACTCCTTCAAACATGTCTGAAAAAAAGGCAGAAAATATCAATATCACCTTCATCACCACTAATGCTGTTTACTACGTGCCAGGCACCATTCTAGGTACATTATATACATAAACTTGTTTAATTCCTCACAATAGTTTTGCACTGTGTAGTACTTTTATCCTCATTTTACAAATAAGGAAACTAAGCTAGAGGAAAATTAAGTTTCATGCCAGTCATTGTGGCACATGCCTGAAATCCCAGGGACTCAGGAGGCTGAGGCAGGAGAATCGAAATTTCAGAGCCAGTCTCAGTAACTTGGTGAGGCTCACAGCAACTTATCAAGACCTTGTCTTAAAATGAAAAAATTTTAAAAGACGGGTTGGGGATGGGGCTCAGTTGATTAAACATCCCTGAGTACAATGGAAGGAAGGAAGGCAGAAAGATAGATTTAAGATTTGGTAAGTGGTAAAGCTGGATTTGAACCTAATATTGTGGCTTCAGACCCATGCTCTTAATCAGTATGCTATATCACAAGGCAGAAAGACTCTCTCTTGTTGCATCCTAAACCAGGCATTAGCAAATTGGCCCACAAGCCAATATTTACAATATAGGCCAATATATCTAGCCCATCTTCGTAAATCAAGTTTTACTAGAACATAGCCTAATTCATTCATTTACATTAATCATCTATGGCTATTTTTTTAAACATTTATTCTTTAGTTGTAGGTGGACACAGTACCTTCATTTAATTTTTATGTGATTCTGAGGATCGAACCCAGAGCCTCAGACATGTTAGGCGAGCGCTTTTTCCTCTGAGCCACAAC